CATCCATATCTTCTCATCATGTAACATTCTTTTCTTTTTTTGTTTTGTTTTGTTTTTTATTTTGGGCCAGGGCACTGGTTTTATCAGTATGGAAACTCAGTGCAGATTATAGTAATAACAATAGCTAGCACTTATATAGTGCTTTACAAATACTGTCTCATTTTATCTTCACAACAACACTAGGAGGGAGGTGTTATTATCTCCAATTTACAAATGAGGCACACAGAAATTAGCTAATACAGCTGGTAAGTGTTTGAGGTTTGATTTGATCTCACAGCTTTCCTGACTCCAGGTCCAAAACTCTATCCATTGTACCACCTAACTGCACTTTCATTGGTAATTTATAGTCCTAGAGAGTTACCCAGTTCTCTATGTCAGAGGCAAGACTTCAGCTGAGAACTTTCTGACCCCAAGGCCAGTCCTCAACCCACTAAGGCACACTTTTTCTCTCATGGGACATATCTTTCCATCAAGAATTATCCATTGTGGCTGAACAAGCTATAAGAAATGATGAGCAGGATGCTCTCAGAAAAACCTGGAAAGACTTACATGAACTGATGCAAAGTGAAATGAGCAGAGGCAGAAGAACATTGTATATTGTAACAGCAATATTGTAATGATGATCAACTGTGAATGACTTAGCTATTCTCAGCAATACAATGATCCAAGATAATTCCTAAGGACTTAAAAATGATGAAAAATTTTGTTCATCTCTAGAGAAAGAACTGATGGAGTCTGAATGTTGATCAAAGCATATTTTAAAACTTTCCTTACTTTTCTTGGTTTTTTTTTTGTTTGTATTTTCTCCACAACATGGCTAACATGGAAATATGTTTTGCATGCCTGAACATGTATAATCTATATCAATTTACTTGCCTTCTCAATGGGGGGGTGGGGAAGGAGGGAGAAAATTTGGAACTCAAAAAATTTAAAAATGAATGTTAAAAATTGTTCTTACATGTAATTGGGGGGAAATAAAATATTAAATAAGAAAAAACAATTTTAAAAAGCTAATAGAAAAAATTAAAAACTAAAATTAAAAGTTAAAAAATTAAATTAAAAAAAAATTAACCTGAAAAAAAAAAGCATTATCCACTGTGCTAGAGACTTTTCTCTGCATCTTTTAACATTCCCTGGCTATCAGTGCTATGCTCAGGCATTTTATCCCTTGTTTTGCAATCTGGCTGGCTGCCAGCCCTTCTGAGCATATATTTCATGGTTGATATCTTTTACATGACTTCTCAAATGTACAAGTTATCATAGTGGTGATACAGAGGTTCTACCCAAAAAACAAATTGCCTGTGAAGCTGGGCAATTTCTCTCTAGAGAAACCCCAATTACAGCAGCCTTAAAGGAGACTATTGCTTAAATTATTACTGTGGCCTGCTAATTGGTCTGACCCTTCCTTAGTCAACAAGCATTCATTAATTCCTACTATTCGACAAGCACCGTGCTAAGCATTATGGATATAAAGAAAGACAAAAACAGTTCCTGCCCTTGAGAAGCTCACAATCTAATGGGAGAGACAACATGCAAACCATTAAATACAAACAAAATATGAACAGGATAAATTGGGGGTAATCTCAGAGTAAGAGCCCTGGGATTAAGAGAGACCAAGAATTGCAGAAGGTGGGACATTAGTTGAGACTCGAAGGAAGTCAGGGGAGACAAAGACAAGGAGAGAAGGAAATCCAGGCGTACCAGACCATGAGAAAATGCCTGGAATCAGGAGACAGAGTATCTTGTTTGAGGAGCAATGGATCAAAGAGTACTTGGAGGGGAGTAAAGTATAAGAAGACTGGAAAAGGAGGGGTTCAGATTATGAAGGGCTTTGAATGCCCAACAGAGGATTTTATATTTGATGCTGGAGCTGATAGGGAGTCATTGGGGCTTACTGAATTGGGGAGAGGCATGGTCAGATCTTTGCTTTAGAAAAATCAGTTGACAGCTGAATGGAGTTTGGACTGGAGTGGGAAAATAGGAGACAGGAAGACCAACTAGCAGGCTAGTGCGATACACTGAGGGTGAGGTGATAAGCCTGCACCAGTGTTGCGGCAATGTGAGAGGAGAAGGGGGCATACATGAGAGGTGTCAGGACAAGGGCACTGATAGGAATTGGTAACTGATTGGATATGAGAGGAGAATGAGAGAATAAGGAATTGAGAATGACGCCTAGATTGTAATCCTGGGAGAAGGGTGATTGCTTTTGATGGTAATAGGGAAATTAGGAAGAGGGGAGGGTTTGGGGGGGCCAAGATAATGAATTCAGTTTGTGCCTACTGAGTTTGAGATGTCTACAGGATATCCAATTCAAAATGTCCGATAGATAAGAGATAATAGACCTGGAGCCCAGAGTTGAATACACAGATCTAATAATAATAATAATTGATCTAATAATAGATCTGCCTATTGATGATAATCGAATCTCTGCCGTATCAAAAAAAGAAAAAGATCCCAGGACAGAGCCTTGGGGGAGTGTAAATGCAAAAAATATCAATAAAATACATTTAAATGTATGTGTATGTGAAATGGGTAAGGAATAGATAAGGTCCTCCTATATTTTTTAAGTTTTATTGATGTTTTGTTTTTACATTACATTTTACAGAGTACTCCCATTTCATGAGAGGTTTCTTTCAACAAAGTAAAATAGTAAAACAGTGACCTCATGTGAAAGTGCATCAATATGTCCTATCTCTCTAGCATCACTCACCTCTATATTTAAAAAATAATAACAAAATAACAAAAAACCCCAGAAATCTATTTTCTTTCTCCCTCCTACGTGATTAAAAAGAAAAAGAAAACAAATTTCTTGTAATAAATATGCATAGTTAAGTAAAACAAATTCCTTCAATGGCTTTATACAAAAATAGAAATGTCACATTCTGTGCCCTAAATCCATCACTTCTCTGAAATGGATGAATCACAAACAGTCTTATTGATCATAATTCTTACAGCTCTCTAAGTTGTTTGTTTTCACAGTTTAGTATTAATTGTTCTTCTGGTTAAGCTTAATTAGTTTTTCATCATTTTATAAAAGTCCTCAAAATTGTCCCTTTTATATACTATAAAATGGTCCTTCTCTATTTCCTGCCCCCTCTTCCTTCGATATTGGGGAAGTGTCCAGGTAACAGACCTGAACAGGGTCTAGGCAGGCAAGTTCTACGTGCAAACAGGCTCAAGCCATCTGTCTACACAGGAATAGAAACTAGTCTAAAGCCTCATCCCTTGGGAAGAGGGCTGGATTTGGAGTCAGAGGACTTAGGTTTCCATCTAGGCTTCCCTTCCTAAGGGTTTTTGAGCATGTCATGAAAATCAAAAGAAAAAACTCCAAGACAGTCCATTAAGTCAAAAGATTTTCAACTTGTCAGCAAGCGTACCCACATAGAGAGTACCTATGAACAACCTAAATTAGATTTCACTCTGAGGTTCTTTTTATGTACAGAAAAACAAAAAAAAAAAAAAATCAAAGAAAATTATTTCTCTATTCTGATTGGCTATGCCGACAAGATAATGGGAACACAGAAAAACAAACTTATGCTTAAGAAACAGCTGCTTTAAAAAGATATATACGATCTATCCGCAATTAACTGCAGCTAATCCACCTTTTGTACAAACAGGATAGAGGTGACAATATACGATACAATTAACTGCCTCAAAGAGACCCGTTGGACAAGGGTAAAAGGTACAGGATGTTTCTTGAGCTAAACACTGACATACATTGGGCTCACTCAGCAAACTATAGCAATCTCGTAAATATTCCAAACTAAAATGGAGTTTCTTAGGTTCAATGTTAGTTAAATTACTTTTTCACTAAGTCACTTTTCCCAATCTGGGCCTGTTTCCTCTTCTGCAAAATGGTGGGGGTTAGTCCAGAACAAAGGTGTCAAACTCTCAGCCAGTGGCCTCGAACCAGATTAAAATGTAATTGGGAAATGTTTAACAAAATAAATAAAAATTCAATGTCATGTAAATGATATTAATTTAAAGTTTTCAAAGTCAGTGTGACCCCCGGGCATTGTTTCTATCTGAGTTTGACACAATTGGACCAGAGGACCAAAGATGAAGAAGCATGCAATCCACCTCCAGCCGGAGAGGTGATGATCTTAAAATACTTAATCAGACATATGTTTCTGGACATGGACAATGCGTGAATTTGTTTTGTATGACTATACATATTTATTACGAGGGTTTTGTTTTTCTTTCTTTTTTTATTGGGGGAGGGGGAGAAAATTGTTTAAAAAAAAATAAAGAAAACTGGGGGTAAGGGAAGGGGATTGGACTCCAGAGTTCTCTAAGGTTCCTTCCAGCTCTAAATCTACCATCTCACATAAGCAGGAGTGGTCTAGGACAGACACTAGATCTAACACTGACCATGTCATTGCCCTACTCAATAAACTCCAGTGACTCCCTATTGCTCCTAGAATCAAACACAGTCTCCTGTGTTTAGCTTTCAAAGCCCTTCACAACCCGGTCCCAAGCTCACCTTCTAACCTTATAACACATTAGTCCTTGCAACCTATGGTTGGGCCCAACTGGAAGGCTCTCTGCTCTTCCCCCAGCACCGTATTCTCCGCCTCCTGGGCACAGCCAGCCCAGTGTGTCAACTCTTGTCATTTTGTATCCCCTGGATGAGTAAAGCAAAGGTTTGGAGATTTCAAATCAACAAGCGTTTATTAAATATCTACTGTGTGCCCGGCACTGTGGCAGGTGCTGAAGATACAAAGACAAAAGAAAAAAAAATGAAACCTTCCGCCCTCAAGGAGGGCACAGACAGTAGCAGGAGGCTAGGACAGGAATGGTGGAGATGAAATGAACCTCGTCAGTTTCAGCAGGAAGCAGCCTGGGGGAGGGGAAGAGAGCAGAGCAGGCTCTTCCTCCCTGCTGCCTCCCTCCCTCTGGGGCCCTGCGTCCCGGGAGGAGCCGGGGTGAGCCCTGCTCGGCTGGCCCGGCCTCTGGGGCGGTCCTGGGTCAGCTGACCAGCTGGGAGGCTGGTCTTGCTCATGGTCACATCACGTGAGGCGCTCCTGCATCAGCTGACCCAGTTCTTGGAGGAAGAGGAGGAGGAAGAGGCAGGGCTGGGGGCCTCTCTGGGGCATCGGTCCAGGGCCCAGCCTGCAACATGGTGAGGGCAGGATGGGTCAGGGCACGCTCTCGGCCATGCATTCACTCCCCAGGTCCCGGGCGGGCAGCCCTGGCTTATTTGGGAGTGGCGTGGGTTGGGGGTGAAGGAGAAATGCCCACCGTGGGGGAGGGCAGGGCAGGAGAGTTGTTCAACCCATTCAGACTCTTTTCTTCCTGACCCGTCGGTAGAAAGGCTTGGAGAAACTTCAATCACATCCATGTGATGGGTGGAAAAAAGCTCAAAACTAGCTCTGCCTTTCCTTTTCTGTATAACTTTGGGGAAGCCACTTAAACGTTCTTCCTCAGTTTCCTTCTCAGTTTCAGTCTTAGAGGCCTCCAGACTTCTGTGTGGTGGACTCTAGGCTTTAAATTTCCACAGTGGACTTGCTGGGTAATTGCTTCTGTTAGTAACCCGCCCCTTTTGTTGGGGGCACTGTGTAGAGGGAATGCTGTAGGTCAAGTGCATGCTTCATTAGTATTATCGTTATTATTACAGTTAGGGGATTTTGTTTTCAGTCATTTTCAGTCACGTCCAACCGCATTTGGGGTTTTCTTGGCAAAGTGCTGGAATGGTTTGCCATTTCCTTCTTCAGCTCATTTTACAAATGAGGAAACTGAGGCAAATGGGGTTAGGTGACTTGCTTAGGGTCACACTGCTAGTGTCTGAGGCCAGATTTGAACTCAGGAAGATGCTACTGTTCTTCAGGAGAGGGGAGAGGTTGGGCCAACCTCATGGGTCCTCAGCTTTGAGGACCTTGGGGGGCTTCAAAGATAGCTCCCCCATGCATGGGCTGAGGGAAGGAGGATAGATGAGGCCCCAGGGGTCCAAGTCTCAGTGTTGTCCAGCCTAGGGAAGGAGAAGGGAGTCTGTTCTCTCTTTAAAGGGGACCTCCTTTTGCACCTGCAGAGATGTGGCCTTTCCGTTCTCTGGGCCTCATTTTCCTCATCATTAGAAGACTGGACTAAGTAAGCAAATGAAATGATGTATGCTTTGCAAATCTTAAAGCACTATGTAAATATTATTATTATTATTATTGTTATTATTAGCACTGAGGTTCTTTCCGGCTCTTAATCTGTGATCCTATGATCCCATTACCCCTCTCAGGCTAGGGCTTCTGACCCTCTCATTATTTAAGGCAGCTGAGACCAAGGGGAATTTCCACATCCCGCCTTGGTCACGATCTCCATTTACTACTTTTGTCCAATGCCTGGCCTTCCTACTCCCTAAAGTCAGGAGAGAGACCTGCCCCTCTCCTCTGTGATGTATCCTTTTATAGGTTGTAAATCACTGCTTCAGCCTTCCCTTCTCCCCCCTTCAGAGACCTGTGGTTCTCCCCTTTCCAGAGGTTCCGGTTCTGTGGCGACCTGGACTGTCCAGATTGGGTCCTAGCAGAGATCAGCACGTTGGCCAAGATTGTTGAGTATTTCAGCTCCTGTATTTGGGAAGGAAGAGGGAAGCTTGAGGGTGTGGGAGGGAAGGATGTGGATGTAACATGTTCTCAACCAGTGTGGGGTGGCAGGGCTCCAGAGTCCTCAGACTGGCCCCTCCCTGAAATCCTGGGTACAAATTGCTGTTTGTCCTGTGTCTCAGTTTCCCTGATTGGAGGTGGGTGGGCAGGAGTTGGCAAGAGAGTGTGGCAAAACAGAGAGTGATGGACATGAAGACAGGAAGGACCCAAGTTAGAGTCCAGCCTCTGACAGCCACAGCCTGGCATCTTTCCAGCCTCATTGGATGTTATTCTCCATCCTACGCTCTGTGATACCAGTTCTGTGTCTTCTGTGTCTTTCTCTCTGCTGGACACACACACACACATACACACACACACACTCACACTTTCTCTCTATCTCCCACCTCCTTGCCTTTTCACTACCCATCCCCGCATGCCTAGAATGCCCTCCCTCCTGACTTCAACACAAAACTCCTCTCTTCCTTCTCATTGCAGCCCAGCTGTGCCATCTACAGGAATCTTTCCTGATCCCCCCAATTGCTAGTGCCCCCCCTCCTAAACCATCTTGTATGGAACTACCTGGCACTTAATTGTATTCGTTCTCTTGATATGTATTCTGTATATACTTGCATATGTCCTTGTCATCTTCCCATTAGAATAGAAACATCTGGAGAGCAGGGACTGTTTCATTCTTTACATCTGTATTCCCAGTACCTAGCACTGTGGTAGATGCTTAATAAATACTGATTAATTGATGATACAAACAAGCAAGTCCACTAACAACCCCTGAATCTTGGGTTCTTTATCTGTAAAATGGGAGCCGTCCTAGTCTCTATGTCCCAGGCGGTTGTCGGGGTCTGAGGAGACAGGGCATTCAAAGTATTTTATAAACCAGAAAGGGCAGGAGAAAGCCCATTTCTTAGGTGAGTGGTGGATGACAAGGTGATGTACATGGCTGTGCTTTCCCTACAGTCTTCTGTCAAGCTGAAGCTGATCTGCAGCCAGGTTCTGAAAGACCTCCTGGGACAGGGGATTGATGTGAGTTAGCCGCCATCTTGGGCCCTGAGGTCCCCTCTCCTGGACTGGGGGGGAATTTCTGAAGTCTCTCTGGGTCAGTGGCATCATTTATAGCCCCTTGGTTTCACCCGCTTCGTACGCTGTGGCCCAGACTTAGGCCCTCCCTGTGGAACCAGGAAGCCAAGGGATAGAAAGGGTCCAGAAGCTGGATTGGTAGTAGTGGAGTCAGGGTAGGGCTGAATCTAGCTCTAACCGGGGAAATCGAATGTTAAATTTGGAGTGTGAAACTCTCAGAAAAATTGGCAAATGTTACCCACCAGGGCTTGATTTGTTTTTTGTTGATTGTCCAGGCTTAAGAAAGTGATAGACAAAATGTTTAGTAATGCAGATTAAATTTAATAGTGGGTTGTGTTTACTTTTTTTTTTTTTTTTTTGAGAGCTAGTTGTTAAACATTTACGAGCACACCCCTGAGTGAGATGGGGACCAGGGTGGGACTCAGGGCAGTGACCAGGGTGTCTTCTCTTGCAGTTTGAGAAAATCCTGAAACTTACAGCCGATGCCAAGTTTGGTGAGTAAGGATGCCATCCCTAGGTTCATATCTTCTGCATGCTCCCATACTCTAGTCGCCTCCTCCCAGAAGCCTTCCCTGACCACCCCAGCCCTTATCGTCTGAGTCACACACTAAATCTCTTAGCACACACATGGATGATAGGCAGATTTTGTTTACTTTGCGCATACTATCCTTGCCATACTGCCTTTCCTGGCTAAGTGAAATCCATATTAAAAGTATTTGTTAGTCAACAGTCATTAATTAAACTTTTACTGTGTACCAAGTCCTGAGCCAAGCACTAAGAAACATAGAGACAAAAAATAGTTCCTGCCCTCACGGAGCTTCCATTCTAATGGGAAGGGTAACATGGAGACAATTATGTACATATAAGGTATATAGTTATACATTTTCTTTTATCTGAAATAGCATAATATTATCAATATTAAATTAATTGAATAGTATTAATATTAAATAGTATCAAATACTAATTTGTTGATTGACTGAGTTAAGGGGTGAGAAGGGGTGGAGATGGGAGTAGGGGAAAACTGTCCTTGCCCTCTGAGAGCTTCCAGTCTGGCCGGAGAGACAGGACTCACATGCATTCATGATGTGGAAGGAGAACTGGCCTGGCCCTCCCAGTTTGGCCACTCTGCTCCCCATGACCTTGTTCCCTCCCCACCCCTAGGCAGTAAGAGGCAGTTAGGATTTGAACCCAGTGCCCATCCCAGTACACTGAGGAGAGCTCCTCAATGTGAATGTGCAGTCTCCTGTCCCAAGATTCAGACCAGGCCAAGATGGGGTAGGGGAACTCCTGGGCATCTTTTCCATGTCCCTCTGCTCCTTCCAGAGTCTGGCGATGTCAAGGCCACAGTGGCGGTGCTCAGCTTCATCCTCTCCAGCGCAGCCAAACACAACGTGGACAGTGAGTCCCTCTCCAGTGAGCTGCAGCAGCTGGGGCTACCCAAAGGTATGAGTGAGGGGAGGCATTGGGGATGGCCCCCTCTCGGGTTGCAGGCTTTCACCCCTGACTCTGTCCCCACCCCTGGCTTCGTGAGCCTGGAACCCTCCCTGTCTGAGCTTTAAGATGGGGGTGGAGGTGGCCAATGGGGGCCATCCACAGCTTTCTCTCTCCGGGTCTCACGTGTCTCACTTCAGACTCTCCTGGCCCTCCCCTTCCTGGGTCACTAACCCCCTCCCCCCACCATCTTTTCTCCCTCTAGAACATGCCTCAGGATTGTGCCGTTCCTATGAGGAGAAGCAGGGGCCCCTCCAGGAGAGCTTGAGGGGCAGCAGCCTAAGGTGTAAGTTGACTTGGGAACTGGCCCATGGCCTTGGGCTCAACTCTGAGGAACCAGGAGCTTAGGGTCCTGAATGCTGGACTTCAGTATGTTGGGTTTAGTGAATTCTAAGGCCCCTTCCAGCGCTGAATCTATGATTCTGTGACTAAAGAGGGAGGGAGAGCAGCTAGTCCAGGCCGTGGCAGGGAGAGCAGAGCCTGGGGGAGGCTGTGGACCAACCCTGTACCCACTTAGGTGATAATTAAGCCAGTACTCGGTCTCATGTGCAGCTGTGATGTTGGGAAGACCACAGGTCCTGACCCCATCCCAAGTCTAGTTAGGGAGCCAAGAGTCACCCGTGAAAACACAGAAATACCAGACGATATGTGCTGGGGGTCACATAAGTGGTGTGGACTCTAAGGGCAGTAATCACTTTTTTGGGGCTGAAGTAGTCAAAGAAGTCTTCCTGGAGGAGGCAGGCCTTGGACCAGGTCACAAAGGATGGGGATGATCACCCTGACATGTGTCCAACACTATATTTCAAAGCTCTTTCAGACCCAGAACTTCATTTAATCCTCGTAGCTGCTCTGCAAGGTTAGCAGACAGGAATCATTAACCGATGGAGTGTATGGTCCCTGAGGCCAGAGACTGTTTCATTTTTGTCTTTGTCTTCCCAGGGCCTAGCCCAGTACTTTGCATATAGTACATGCTTAATAATTGCTTGTTTAGTGAATTTTTATCCCATTTAATAGATATTTAATAGTTGAGGACCAGATAAGTTATATGACTTTTTCAGGTCATAATGGCAGAACTGGGATCCCTGGTGGTTCCTGGTGACCAATAGGATCTTTAAAGCTCTGCCTCCTTTCCTACAGTGAGCAGACTGGACAGTGTTGGCTGGCGTGTGGACTACACAGTTAGCTCCAGCCAGCTCTGCCATGTTCATGAGCCGGAGGTGCACCTGAGGCTAGATGTTCGGCGTGACCCAGCTGGTCCAGCAGAGCCCATCGCCATGACGCTGTCAGTGAAGAAATTCCAAGTTCTGTTGGCAGGTAAGGAGGAAGGAGATTGGAGACACTCAGGAAATCATAGAATTCCAAAGGTCTGGTCCAATTCATACCTGAACAAGAATTCTTAGGATCACAGTTTTAGAGCTGGAAGAGCCCTCAGAGAAAATCTAGTCTGACCTCCTCATTTTATAGGTGAGAAAAGCGATGCCTAGGGAGGCTGAATGATTTGCTACAAGCCACACAGCTAGTAAGCATCAGAGATGAGATGTGAACACAGGTCCTCTGGCTTTAGAACAGTGCTTTTTGCACTGTACTATGCTAATTCCTTCTCTGGTATACCCATCAAGTAGCCCTGCAGCCTTGGCTTGTAGACCTTCAGGGAAGGGTAACTTATTGCCTCCTGAGCTAGCCCTTTCTCCTTTTGAGTAGCTCTAATTGGTTCAGTTTATATCAACCATACAGTTCTCCTCCTTGCCACCTCCTCCCATTGCTCTGTCCTCTGGGACCCGGCATCCCTGCCCCTCTTCCCAGCTCCGTCCCTTTCTCCTAAACCCCCATCTCTGTGTCTTTCAGAACTCAAACAAGCACAAGCCTTGATGGGTTCCCTGGGCTGAGAGTTGTTGGACAAGAAGAAAAGGAAGCCAAGGAGTGGGACTGGCTCAGCTCAGCCCTAAACCTCCGTGTTGGGGCTGATGACCTTTCCCTCTGTCTATAGCACCCATTCCATCTCTCCACCAGGCCTGGGTATGGTTGGTCCCCATCTTCAAGACAGCTCAGCCCAGTGAGCTCAGCAACAGGACCTGGTCGGGTTGGGAACCCTCTAAGGTGCCTTCCTGATGTCCACCTCCACTGTCGCCTCTCCCCGGTTTTGTACCTTTTTACTGAATGGTGGAAGGAATAAATGTTGTCATTGAGGCTGTGTATGTCTTTGTGAGATGCTGCCATCCCTCTGAAGGAGACAGAAGAGGACTCCATCCGGGGAGCAGAAGAGAAGAGAACTGAGGCTTGCGTCTGGTCCTAAGACTCAGTGCCCTTAGGAAGTCAGGGGAGAGAGAGAGAGAGACCTCACTGTTGGTTGGAGTGGTCAGGGAAGCCTGCTCCAAAGAGGTGGGGCTTGGGCTTGGGCCTTGAAAAATGGATGGAAGGCGGGTGGGTGAAATTCCCATCCCAGATGGCGGAGGTGACTTTAGAGCCGGCGGTAGACTTGACACGTTGGAGGCAGTGAGATTAGCAGCCTAACCAGAGCAAAAAGCCCAGGTTAGGAAGTTAGAGGGTGAGGTAAAGCACTGGAGGGAAGGGCAGTGAGGGCGCCCTCTTTTCTATAACCAACTTTCATACTCAGAAGTTGGTCATTTCTCCTTTCCTGAGCCATCTCCCACCCCTGTTTTCATATTAGCCTCGAGACAACACTGAGAAGAAGGCAGGGCCACAATTATATTCTGTTTGGCAGATGAGGAAACTGAGGCCCAGAGAAGGGAAATCACTTACCTGAAACTCACTTTCTCCCTGAATAACAATTTTCTGTAGTTTATTAAACTTATGAAATGCTTTCCTTACAGCAGCCCTGGGAACCAGGTAACCAATCAACTTTTTTTTTTTTTTTTTTTTTGGTGAGGCAATCAGTGTCAAGTGTCTTGCCCAGAGTCACACAGCTAGTAAGTATCAAGTGTCTGAGGCCGAATTTGAACTCAGGTCCTTCTGACTGCAAGGCTGGAACTCTATCCGCTGCACCACCTAGCTCCAATCAACATTTATTTAGTGCTTACTATGTGTCAGGACAAAGAATGAATCAACTCCCGCTCTTGAGAAGCTTATGTTCTAATGACCAAACCCCATAATACCAGAATCCATGAAATTTGGGCCTGGGAGCAGGTGTCATGAGGTACAGATTTGGAAGTGACCAGGAAGTAGTCTTTTGGAGAAGGCAGTTGAGCCTGGTGTTTGAGCTGTCCAGGGCAGGCAAAGAACCAGAGTGTGGATCATCTGATGTTGGAAGACTGTGGTGTGCTGATGGAGAGATACTGGACCTCCAGCCTCTGTTCAGGAGCCAGGAACCCAGAAGATCAAATTCCACAAGGAAGGGCTTCAGGTTTCCATGCCAGTGGTGGCTTTGGCCGATGGATGTGTGGGCTGTGTGTGTTTGAGAGGAGTAATGGATACGGAGCATTATATACCTAATGTTAGACTTCTTCGATGTGTTGATTGGTTTTGCTGGACTGTCTCCACACACCCCCTGCTTTTTTAATTCTTTGATAGAAGGAATGCTTCTCTGAGAGGGCAAAGGAAGGGGGATACATTGGGAAAAGTGGATGATGTAAAAACAAGTTATCAGGTGCAGCCCTTAATCACTGGGAGCTCTGACTACATTCACCTGTTTGTCTCCTTATCCTCATCCTGGCTGGGAGTAGGAGACCTCAGTCCCAATCCTCATTGTGTAACTCAAAACCGTGCCACCCCCCAGGAGTGTCACAGCTCCCTTCTGTGTCCCAGGATACACTTGGTAGATCTGTTAAGACACCCGGGACTTTACTCCCTTCTGTTCCCCAACCGCCAGCACTATGTTCCATCATCACTCCGCCATGGATACCACCATTCTAGCCATCCCTGGCCTTGATTTCCCGATCCAGACTCAGCCATTCGTTTTCCCGCTCTCAGTCTTTTGATCTCTTGCTCCCATCTCTCTCTCTTAGTCTCTCTCCGTCTCTCTTCTCCCTCTTCCCACATCCTACCACCCTCTAGGTTGCTTTCCCTCTGCCTCCCTCCTTTGCTGCTTCCAAGCCCTAGCCCCAGAGCGGACCATGACCCCAATAAAACTACAATTCCCATGAGGCTATGGGGCATAGCGATTACATCTCCCAGCGTGCCTTTGGGCCAAGCACCAGCCTTCGCTTTAACCCTCTGGAGTCTGTACGGAGCACAGCTGAGAGCAGGTACCGAGTAGGCTTCGCTCCTCCTGGACTTGGCGGCCCCAGGCTCAGCATGGAGAGGGAGGGGTGGGCAGGCGCTTACCTCTGGGGGGAGCTGGAGGGAGAGGGTGGGGAAGGGTCCCCAGCTCCCTGCCCCTGTCAGGCACTACTCCTCCCACCCGGGGCTGCGGCTGGCTTCAGGGGTGGGAGGCTGGCCCTTTAGGATACAGACAGGTAAACTGAGGTCCAGAGAAGGTAGCTTGGGTATGCGGCATTCGCACCCCTAGGCTTTTTCTTAATGAGCTCCCTGGATGGCGTCGGAGACCCTGAAAGGTTTCCCCTCCGGTCTTAGAGCACCTGGGGTCCTGGATCTCTCCTTTGCCCAGATCACCCCCAGCCCGAATTTAAGCTCCCTTCAGGGCAGGGATAGGAGAGCTAGAACTGGAAAGGAACCTTACTGCGTGTCCAGACCTGCCCCCTTATTGAACTAGGGACGAGTCTGAGCTGATGGGAGTTGTGCGGCAGCTTGCGCTTAGGAAGTGGCCGAGCCCAGGCGTGGGATGCCAAATCAGCCTACTTTGCCGTTTGAGTGGACCTTGACCTTGGACTAAAGGTCCTTGTCTAAAATGGTGTCTGCATATAGTAGGTGCTTAATGAATGTTTGCTGGCTGGGGAAGGAACTTCTGTGCTCTTCCAGGGCAGGGATGGGGCAGGGTTTTTGCCTCACATACAGTAAATGCTCAATAAATGCTTGTTGACTAGCTGACGTTCTGGTCCAGCTTCCTCCTTTTACAGACAGTTTAAAATACCCAGTTCTTGACTCCTTGACGTGTATCCTCCCCCACCCCCATCTGATAGCCACAAAGTTCGGAAGTTGTTTTGAGTATATATTTGAATTCTGAAATATTTACCAAACCTGCCTACTGTGTAATAATATAATGAAAATTATAATGGAAGCCTCTTCCAGCCTAGACTAGTATTCTCATGAATATGAGATAGCTTTGGAAAACTAAATACACAATAGAAATGAATGAATGTCAGAGTTGGAAGGATCCTTAGAGATCTTATAGTTACGTCCTCATAATTTTACACATAAGTAAATTGAGGCCAGAGGGGGCTGTGACCTGTCCAAGGGCACACAGTGAGTCAGTGGCAGAGCCAGGTCTAACCCAGGTCTCCTGGCTCCCAGAGCGTGTTGAGATGGTAGGGGAATCATTACCTAGAACCTCATCCACATACTCACCAGAGTAAGGGGAAGTTGGGAAATAGGGGAAGACAACTCCGTGAAACCCTTTGCTCTGCTTCTAGGATGCCCGAGGGCCCAGAGCTCCACTTGGCCAGCTGCTATGTGAACACCATGTGTAAGGATCTGGTGTTTGCTGGGCGAGTAGAGAAGTCTGAGGTGAGCAAAAACCCCGAGGTACCCTTTGAGAGCAGCGCCTACCGTATCACGGCCACCTCTCGGGGCAAGGAGGTCCGGTTGACGCTGAGCCCACTGCCAGAGGCCCAGCCCCCGCAGGCGCCCATGGACCTCGTGTTCCGCTTTGGCATGTCTGGCTCCTTTCAGCTGGTCCCAGCGGACGCCCTGCCCAAGCATGCCCATCTGCGCTTCTACACGATCTCTCCTCTGCCCAACCGGGCCCTCTGTTTTGTGGACATCCGGCGCTTTGGCAACTGGGAGGTTGACGGCACATGGCAGCCTGGGCGAGGCCCCTGCGTTCTGATGGAGTCTGAGAAGTTCAGGTAGGGTCTCTGGGCGAGGTGCGGAGTGGAGCCCCAGGGAAAGCCCCAATCCCAGGTCTTTCCTTGGTCCCTGTCTCTCTCTGAAAAAGGCTGATCCCACCACCCCATTCTCCAGGGTCTTTGCTCTCCTGGGTGCTGCAACCAGAGTATAATGGCCCAGTAGCAGCTGTCCAGGCTCACATAAAAGGCCAGTTGGGGAAGCTATCCCTGATGCTCATAAACACAGAATTGTAGAATTTTTGAATGGAGAAGGGCCTTGGTGGCCATCACATCTTACCTATACCCAAGCAAGAATCTCATCTGTATCACAGTGCTTGGCACATAGTAGGGGCTTTAAACATGCTTGTTGAATGATTGATACCTGGTATATGGTTCTCCAGCTTGCCCTCGGAGACCTATAATAAGAGGGGAACCCACCACTTCTTGAGCCCATTTTGCCTTTGGAAAACCTCTCACAGTTAGGCTGTTACCTCAAGACTCCAAAGTTCCAATCACTGTTCCTCTGAGGCCAAGCAGAGCAGGCCTGGGACAGATACCTGGAAGCAGCTGCCGTGTCTTTCCTGAGCCTTCTCCTCTCCGGGCTACACATCCTCATTTCCTCCAACCCGTTTTCCTATCGCATAAACTCGAGGTTCCTCCCTGTCTCAGTTGCTTTTTTGTGAATATTCTCTGTCCCACTGCTTGCATGCACATCGCAATGCCAGCATCACACAGTCTTCCAGCCCTCTTCCCAGGAACATGGGCAAAGAAAAGAAAGTAGCACTATCTGCTTCTGCTTCTGTTTTCTGCCAAGGAGAATGACCTTAAGATACAAATGTAAAGAACCAAAATAGCAAAGAAGGAATGGAAACTCAAAATAAGTGAGATCGTAAGATACCACATTGTTTGTTATCGTTAAGTCCTGTCTGAGCCTTCGTGACCCCATTTGAGGTTTTCTTGGCAGAGATACTGGAGTGGTTGGCCATTTCCTTCTCCAGCTCTTTTTACAGATGAAGAAACTGAGGCAAACAGGGTGAAGTGACTTGCCCAAGGTCATGTATATAGCCTATAAGTGTCTGAGGCCAGATTTGAACTCACAAAGTTGAGTCTTTCTGACTCCAGGCCTGGCACTCTATCCACTGTACTACCTAGCTGCCCAAAGACTCCACATAGCTTCTATCAATGAATTCAGGCCCTTCCCCCCAACTCTATGATTCTCTGATGCCACTTGTCTGTGGAAACACTATTTTTTCCAACCATAGGTAGTTTTAGAGACAAGTCTAAGCTTAAATTTATGCATAATTGGTCTCTTTAGTCTGACTTCTGACACCTGCAAGACATTCCCACCCATTCTTCCCCCTCACTGTTGACCCCCATTCTCCCTCATTTTCCATGACCTTTGGCTATGATAGGGAACGTCTAACAGCATAAGAGACACAGTCCAATTTGTGTATGCTGTATAGGCCCCAGTGATTTCTGTCCTGGCACCAGTGCCCTGTGCCTGACTAATGTTCAGGAATGGAGATGGGAAGGAATGGATGAGTGACTGAGCATTTATCAAGTGCTTACTATGTATGAAACACCAGGCTTTGTGTTCAAGGACTACAGCATTTTAGCAAGGCCTTGCTTTCCTTGGGGTGAGCCCTCCTTCCCTCAGTCTCAGGCCCTTCGCATCACAGTAGCATGGTTCATGAGGAGTGGTGGCCAAGAGCTCCATCACCTGGGGAGCAGTGCTCTCTAGAGGGGAGCCTCCTTGCCCCAAGCCAGGCTGGTCCTGAAGCAACAAGATATACTGTCTGAGTGAAATTTTGGGGCCTCACTACAAGCTCTTCCTGGTTGGCAAGATGTGCTAGAGGTTCTCAAGGTGCTGGTATAGCCTTCTAGAACCCAGGGCCATCTCTACAACCCAATGGCCTCAGAAGAAAGGACATGCGTGGAGGGTTTTTTAAGCTCAGGACAAAAATACTCTAACCTCTTGGTCAGGGAATACACCCCTATCCTGACTCCTCCCCTGCCTTTATTTCCCCATGGCTGGTCACATGTTCAAATCTTGGGAGAAGTGAAACCAGGTGTTGAAAGGGGTCATTTGCATGGAGGGGATCACCTTGGTCCTCTTATATCTCCCCTGCTCTCCAGGGAGAATGTGCTCCAGAACTTGACTGACAAGACCTTTGACAAGCCCATTTGTGAAGCTCTCCTGGACCAGAAATTCTTCAACGGCATTGGCAACTACCTTCGGGCCGAGATTCTTTACCGGTAAGCGGTAGAGGAGGGATGGGACAAGAGTGGGCATCCAGGAATCACCTACCTTATAGGCAAAGGAGGAGGGAAGAGTTAATGTTGGAGAAACTGGGCTAGATTGGGTTCCCCTCTCCCCAAGTGTCTGGAGGTCCCTGGCTGCATTGGAGCTATGAGTCTTCAGCAAATGTCTGTCTCTACTGGCCCCTATCCTTGCCTGGCTTCATGTGGTTCCCCCTTCCCCAGGCTGAAGATCCCTCCCTTTGAGAAGGCCCGAACTGTCCTGGAGGCACTGAAGCATCGGAAGCCGGTAAGACTGAAGGGGGCAGGCCCAAGGCCAGGCCACAGGCACTGAGACTGGTGACATAGAGAAAAGAGCCCTTGACTGAGAAGTAGGAGACCTGATGGTCCATCCTAATTTTGTGACTGACGCACTGTGTGCTCTCAGGCAAGACATTTCCCCTTTTGGAGTCTGTTTTCTCCCCTTGTAAAATGAAAGGGCTGGACCAGAGTAAAGACCAGCATTTATACCACAATTGAAGTTTTGTCCCATAGCCGTTCATTATCTTATATGTTCAATTGATCCTCATTTAATTCAATGACAACCCTGTGAGTTAGGTGCTGTTATTATCCTCATTTTATAGATGAGGAAACTGAGGCAAACAGAACTTAAGTGACTTGCCCATGGGCATACTAGTCAGTTTCAGAAACCAGGATTACAACCCAGGTCTCCTGACCCCAAATCCATCGTTCATTTTTTGTACTATATCACCCCCCCCCGCCAAGTCAAATCAACAAGCATTTATTTTTTTGTTTTGGTGAGGCAGTTGGGGTTAAGTGACTTACCCAGGGTCACACAGGTAGTGAGTATCATGTGTCTAAGGCCAGGATTTGAACTCAGGTCCTTCTCATTCCAGGGCCAGTGCTCTATCCACTGCGCCACCTAGCTGCCCCTTCAAGAGGCGTTTATTAAGCACCTACTGTGAGCCTACACTGTGCTAAGTACTAAGTAACTAATTAGCACTAAGTACCTGCCCATAACTAGATCCCCAAGGTCCATCCCAGCTTTCTGTGAACAATCAGCAAAGTTTTGGGGAGGGAGTGGGGAGACAGAACCTGGCCAAAAGAATAAAGGGCAAATGGATGGCATTTCAGACAGCAGGACAAACTTGAGGCTGAGGAAATGAGGCTGTTTCCACAGGTTGCATGTATGATCCACCATGCACAGTAATTCTTGACCATGACTGAACCCTAGGTAAACTGCTAGGGGGATGGAGAGGGGCAGGAAGCCTAGGGTTACTAAATGTGTGTCCATTCTCCCCTGACCAGAACCCAGAACTGACTTTGAGCAAGAAGGTCAAAGCAAAACTAGAGAACCCAGACTTGCTGGAACTGTGCCACTTGGTACCCATGGAGGTGGTCCAACTAGGTGAGGCCTGGTGGCATGGACCCTGACGTGCCCTGGCACTCTTCTCCCTCTACCTAGCTGGCTATGGGCTCCTTGGGGTCTGGAACAAGGGGAAAGCAGCGGTGTTTTTCTTTATAGTACTTTCCCATCTTCTCTATAGCCCCGTGGGGTAGATAAGTTGGAGTCATAGCATTCAGAACTGGAACTAACCTTGTTGATCATCTAAGTCTAACTCCATTTTACAAAGGAGGAAACTGAGGCCCAGAGAAGGAAAGTGAGTAATCCAAGTTTGTTCAGACTGTAAGGAACCAAGGCAGGATTTGAACTCAGGTCTCAGCTTCAAATCCACTGTCCTTTCTGACATTATCCCTTCTTCACAGATGGGGAAACTGAGGCTCAGGGAAAGGAAGTGGTTTATCTGTGTTCTCACAGCAAGTTAGCTGCAGAGCTAGTATTAAAACCTACTCTTGTCACTCCATCCCTTAGACCCCCCTGGGACAGGGGTGGGGATGAGTGGACATGACTGGGAAAGCCTGATCTTGAACTTTCCCTCTTCCCACCCTTGTCATCAAGGGGGTAAGGGTTATGGGCCCGACAGGGAGGATGAATTTTCAGCTTTCCGGGGATGGCTGCGCTGCTACTCTGTATCCGGTATGAGCTGCCTCCAGGACAGGCATGGAAGGACCATTTGGTTCCAGGTAATAATAAATAACACATCTCTACAGTACTTCCTGCTTTCTCAGGTACTTTTCTGTTCATCCGTTATCTCCCCTGAGCCTTCACACTAACCCAGTGAGGTCGATAGGCAAGGTATTCTTCCCATTTGATAGATTGGGAAAGTGAGTCCCAAAGAGACTTGCCCAAGATAAAGTATTGAATGAGTGGCAGAATCAGGGAGGAGAAATTGGGAACCTCCTCTTCCTTTCGTAGCTATGCACATGCCAGCCAGGCAGTGATCAGATGAGCAGATGGGTAAAGGCAGAATCTTGATGAAGAAGGCAAGCTGTGTCAACAAAGACCATCTGGGAAGCATCTTTCATGGGGCAGCTGGCACTTGGTGGTTGGGCTTGCCAGTGATTTGGGAGATCTGTGCCCCAGCCTTAAAGGAACCCAGATTCCATTCAATACCATTTCCCATTCCCTTGCTTGAAGGGATCCCTGGATCCCGGGGCAGGTTCACTCTGCCGGCCAATCAAACCACCATTCTTACTCTCCATCTCCTCCATCTCTTTCTCCACCTCCTTCCTCATCTCCATCTCCATCTCCTTCTCCATCTTCATCTCCATCTTTATCTCCTTCTCTATCTCCATCTCCTCCATCTCTGTCTCCAACTCCCTCCCATCTCCATCCACTTCTCCATCTCCTTCTCCATCTCCATCATCTCTATCTCCATCTCCATCACATCTCCATCTCCTTTTCCATCTTCATCTCCATCTTTATCTCCTTCTCTATCCATTTCCTCCATCTCTTTCTCCACCTCCTTCTCATCTCCACCTCCTTCCCATCTCCTTCTCCATCTTTATCTCCATCTCCTCCATCTCTATCTCCAACTCCCTCCCATGTCTATCTACTTCTCCATCTCCTTCTTCATCATCTCTATCTCTCTTTCATCACATCTTCATCTACTTCTCCATCTCCATCTCCATGTAATGCACTCCTTCCTAATCTCCACCTTTTAGAATCCCTCATTTCCCTCAGGGTTCAGTGCAAATAGCACCTTCCATGAAACCTTTCCTTATCCCCTCAGTGGCTAGTGCCTTCCCTCCAAATTGCCTTGCGTTTATCTTGTGTGTATACACACACACACATGCACACTGGATAAACTATAAGCTCTATGTGGGCAGGGACTGTTTGGTTTCTGTCTTTGTATATTAGTACCTAACATAGTCCTGGCATATAGTAGGGACTTAAATACTTTTTATTGATTGATTCAGGTCTCTAAGACTTGACTTCTGTCTTTCATGCTTCTGTTATCTGACTCATCCCCTGGTGGGGAACTTTGAGGAGCCCTAGAGCCTAACATCCCACCTTCAATGTCTGTACCTTTGGACAGGGCCGTCCCCCATGCCAGGAGCGACCTCCCTCTTCACCTTTGCCTCTTGGGACTCCTGTTACCTTTAGGCCCAGCTCAAGTGCCCGTTTATTTGAGAGGTCTTTCCTGAGTCTCTCCCATCCACCCAAATTATTTATATCTTGTATATATTTTATTAGCATTCCCTCCCATAATTATATTGCATATATTTTGTTTTTAGTTATCTTTGTACAGATTCTTTGCCCCCCCTGCCCCCAGGAGAATGTAAGCTTCTTGAAGACAGGGAGTGTTTTTTCTTCCTGTCCTGGTATTCCAGCCCCCTATCGCAATGCATGGCACATAATAAGTACTTAATAATTGTCTGAATTCAATCTGGTACCTGACAAAGTTCCTGAGGGTAGTGGTGGAAGGCTTGTCCAGATAGAGCTTGAGCTGGACCCTGAAGGATAGGTGGAATTTGGATAGAGGGAGCAGAAGGAATTCCAGGCTGAGATAACAGTGTAAGTGAAGGCTTAGAAACAGTTGTGGGTGTTGGGGGGAACGATGGGATTGTCTTCATGAGAAGATGCATGCTCTTGCTCTCTGGCCCCACTTAGGTAATGGGAAGGTCCAGATTGGGGCAGAAGCTTTCCAGTCCTCCCAAAGACATCCCTCTAGCAAGGAAGGAGGTGACCAAGCTTCAGAGAGTGGGAAGATTTCTATCTAATTGTGCCTTGTTTCATTTCAGGGAGATCCTGGCCCTCTGGCCCCCAAAGGTAGGTCAAACCTCCTTGTGCAGTAAGAAATGACGGTTATCCAAGCGGGATGGGATATTTGCTGTCGTCAGAGACAGGAAATTCAAGCATTCTGTAATAGAGTTCCTATGTGCAGGACACAGGCAGGACCCTAATTTTACCCCTTCTTCCTTCCTCCAGCCTCCCACCCCTGCCACTAAGCATTCTCCACCTCACTCAGAGACCCTTGCAGTAGGAGCTGAGGTCTTCAGAGACCCCAAGTTCTGATTGCTCTGCTGATGCCCCAGGATTTCACAGCAGCCATTTGGGTGGGACATTTTAGGCAGGGCTCAGGACTTTGTGGATGTGGTCAGCCCTCACCCCTACTCCTGAAGGGCTTCATGTCACCCTTGGTTTCCCACAGGAGGGAAATCCTATAAGAAGCATGTGAAGAAAAAATCCATCCCTGATATCACAGATTTAGAGGTATGGACACCATCCCCCAACAATACCCCACCACAAGGGGAATCCCCCTTCTGTCCTTGACTCTGGTGTGGCAAAAGGGGAGTTTCCCTTCAGAAAAATGGAGTATTGCTTATCTGACAGCCTCAGACATTTTCTAGGAACAAGCCTGGCTCCCTTGAGGGGAGGGTAACTACATTTCCCTTCTTTCAAGCAGTGTTTGGACCTCCCAACCCCTGCTGTTGCCTCCCAAATCCCCTCAGCTCAATGGCTGTTTTAAGACCACCAAAGCTATGCTCTAGAGGCATTAAGCAGGGGACCCTCCCCCCTTTTCTGCTTTGCCATGTCCCTTCTCTTCTCCTTGAGCCCTTTCAGGACCCAGATAAGGGCCTGCTTTTCTTCTATCTAGGACCCTATGTCTATGCCAAAGAAGAATGGCCCCATGAGAGCAAGGAAACCAGGCAAGAAGTCACAGAAGGGGTCTCCTGACCCAGAAGCCAAGGGAAATGTGAAATCAACCAGAGGCCCCAAAACCCAGCGCCGATTGAAGAGTTCTGCTCCAACATCCCCACAGAACGATCTGGGAGTTCCGGATGGAAAACAGCAGCTGGTGACCCAAGTACAAACAGGTAGGAATGCTACACGGGATCCCAGCTTCCCTTTTTGGGTAATAGCGTGAATTTGTTTGGGGTGGGGGAGAGGGCTATGAGTGCAGAGATCTCTAGTGCTTGGATAGATGGCTCAGGGAAGAGTTATTGGGACTGGAGCTGGGCAAGAAGTGCATCCAGACCTTGGGGTCCCTTTCTGAGAGAGCATGAAATAGCCTGGAGTAGTTGGGGGGGGATTCCTGGAGGAAATGGGATTTGATTGGGCCTTGAAGGACAAGAAGAATTGGGGACAGGCAAAGAGAAGATGGAGAGGGAGTCCTGGGTGGGGGAGAGGTCTTGAGCAACAGTATAATCGAGAAGAAACCTGGGAGAGGCAGGGAACACCAGTGAAAGGATCCATGGGTCTCCATCATCCTTCTGGGTCAGGAGCCCCACTCAGTTCTGCTGATCATACAGTTCTGTTTCCTTTCTTCCAGCAGGCAGAGCCAGGAAAAGGAAAGTGAATTCCAAGGCCAGGCTCCCTCCACCTTCCTGAGGTCTTCTTTCCCCACCAAGGTGGGAAAGGCCCCCCAAGTTCTCCTGTTCTTAGTCCCACCCAATGCTAGGGATGGGAATGTGGCCACAGCAGGATCAGGGCAGCCAGGAGACCCTGGCACAAGCTGTATGCTTCAAATTTTAGAGGATCCAATGCTTTTCATGTGATGCACAGTCCTGCCCAAAAGGCTCAATTATTGATCTCTGAAAACGATTTCCATAGCTGAGAGCAGTGGGTTGGTGTCAGGTGAGAGAGGGAAAGCTCAGCACCTAGAGCCCTGGAGCCCCAAATCCCCTCCTTCATAACAGTCCCTCTGCCCCACCCCATCCTGAGGTGGGAAGGAAGTCCAGATGCCTTTCACTCCTCTCCTGTTTCTCCCACCCCAATCACGTATTCCAGGCCCTTGTCCTCTGCCCCTCACACCTCTGCTCCTTCCCCAGCAGAGCTGGGAATCCAGAATCGTTTTGATGCTGTATTTTTTATACCGACAATAAAATCTGACTAGAAACCCTAAGTCCTTTGTTACCACCCTGTGACTCGCATCTCCTTGGCAAGCTGGCAAAAAATCTCACAGTTTAGGGAAATGGGACCAGAAAGAAGAAAAGGACAGGGGAGTCTTCCCTTCAGAACTTCTTAACTCTGTAGACTCTCAGAGCTAGAAGGAACCCTTGGATTCACCTAAGTGACACAGGAGACAGAGCTGGACTTCAGGTCAGGAAGACCCGAGTGCAAATCCTGCATCAGATGTGCCATGTGGCTCCGGGCAAGTCATAACCCTCCCTTGGCCAGCCTCAGTTTCACACAAGCCCTTCGCACTGACAAATGGTTCAACTTCAGAAACTGATGCCATCTTATCCATGGAAATGACAGCAAAGAAGCAGCATTAACATCTTCTTTCCTGCACCCCAAAGAGCAGGAGACCCCTCCATCTGACCTGCAGCTCAAACCTTCCATGGGTGTTGTCTCCTCCATTAGAATACGAGCTCCTTGAGAGCAGGGACTTCCTGCCTCCATTCACCCATCTGTAAAATGGGCCTAATCCACAGTCATTGTGAGGATCGTGGGATTGCAGATTTGGAGCTGGAAAGGGCTTCAGAGGTCACTGAGTTCTGCCCCCTCATTTAACAGGGTAGGAAACTGAGGCCCAGGGAAGTTAAATGACTTTTTTTCCCCTTGAACTTTAATATTTTATTTTTTCCCAATTATATGTAAAAAAGTTTAGCCTTTTTTTTTTTTTATAATTTTGAGTTCCAAATTCTCTCCCTTCCACCTCTCCCCCCTCCTTGAGAAGGCGAGCAATTTGATAAAGGTTATACATGTGCAGTCATGCAAAACATATTTCCATATGTCATGTTGTAAAAGAACACACACACACACATACACGCACACACACAAAACAAGAAAAAGAAAGTAAGATAACAGCATGCTTCAGTCTGTCTTCCAGTCCCATCAGTTCTTTCTCAGAATGCAGACAGCAGTCTTCATCACGATTTCTTTGGAACGGTCTTAGATCATTGTACTGATCAGAATGGCCAAGTCACTCCCAGTTGACCATTGTACAACATTGCTGTTGCTGTGTTCATTGCTCTGGTTCTGCTCACTGCACTTTGCATCAGTTCATGTAAGTCTTCCAGGTTTTTCTGAAACTGTCCTCGTCACTTCCTACTACACAATAGTATTCCATCACAACTGTTCAGCCATTCCCCAGTTGATGGGCATCCCTTCAATTTCCAATTCTTTGTCACCACAAAAAGCTGTTATAAATATCTTTGTACATATAGGTCCTTTTCCTTTTTCTTTGATCTCTTTGAGGTATAGACCTAGTAGTGGTATTGCTGGGTCAAAGGGTATGCATGGGCATAGTTCCAAATTATCTCCAGAATGGTTGCATCAGTTCACAACTCCACCAACAGTGACTTAGTGTCCAAATTTTCCCACATTCCCCCCAACATTTGTCATTTTCCTTTTCTGTTATATTAGCCAATCTGATAGGTGTGAGGTAGTACCCCAGAGTTATTTTAATTTATATTTCTCTAATCAGTAGTGATTTAGAGCATTTTTTCACATGACTATAGATAGCTTTGGTTACATTACTTTTTCCAAGGTCATACAAGTGGTTAAGAGACAGTACAAGGATTTGAACTCAGGTCTTCTGATTCCAAAGTCAATGCTCTCTCTGTTGTACCCTGATCAACCAAGGTCATATCAATAAAGTGCAATGAGGTGGTGCCATAGTTCCCAGAGTGCTGGCCTGGAGTCAGGAAGACGAGATTTCAAATCCAGCCTCTGACACTAGCTGTGTGACCCTGGGCAGGTCACTTAACCCATTTGCCTGCTTCCTCAACTGTAAAATGAAGATAACAATAACAGCACCTGCTTTCGAGGGTTGTTGTGAGGATCAAATGAGATCATCTTTGTAAAGCGCTTAGCAAACCATGAAGTGCTGCTCTGTTAGGTGGCAGTAGTGGTACAATCTCCCACCCAATACAGGCACCCTCTCCTTCCTCTACCTGATGAATTCACCTCTTTTTGCAAGCCTCACAGGAATGGGCCTCCATCCCTTCCCAGGAAAGCCCCCTGCACTGTCAGATGGTTCCTCTCTCCCTCTCACTTCTCCTCTCCAGGGACAGGCTGGAAGCAGGGGAACCAGTGAGGCATAAAGAAGAAACACAATCTTCCAAGACTGGCAATGGGCTTTTTTGAAAACTAGGCTATTTGCCTAGGTCCAAAGCTGGGTCACCTCCACTGTTCTCCACTGCCTCTTAAAGTTAGGCCTCTGCAGTCACACGGATCAGGTCTCTGAGGCCTCTCTGATGCTGTTCGGCTGTGCCAGGGGACTCAGACCCATCAAGTGCAGGCAGCTAGGTGCTCTCTTACAATGGCCTTAGTTATCTTAGGCATCAAGTCCTCAGTAGTCATTTTTATTCTGTCCTTTTGGGTCTGAAGGTCACTCTCCTTGGCAAAGAAAATAGAAGCAAAATAAAGGCAGAGCAGCTCTTCCTTCTCTCTCCTCGGTTATTTTCGTCTCATTTGCACCAAGCGGCTGTCCTATCTCTTCTTTAATCTCCCCCCCACTCCAATGTTAGTAATAAGCTTGACTGTAAGCCATAATCGAGACCACCTCATTCTGAGATTCCTCCCGCCTGACACTATTTTAAAAGAATCTTACTGGCCTTCCGTCTTCATCTTCTGTTAACTCTCCCTGCTGCCAACTAGCGCCATAGGCCTCCCTGGGGATCTTTTTAGACAACTTTGCTCTTCAGAACTGCTTCTTTGTGTCCTCAGAATTTCACTTTTGAGAACTTCTCATCCTTCAGAGGTTTACTTCTCCCAGAGATCCCATGTAGCTTTTTTCAGAACCCTTTAAAATCTGTTCTCCCACTTTCTAAAGAGCGCCCCAGGCCATCCCAATCAGGCCTTCCTCTACTCTACAAGTCTGCAGGTGGAGTGCTCACTTCTCCCCAAGATCTCTATCTTTTCCTCCCCTGGGGGCAGACTATTTGGTCTCTAAGGCCCTCCTCTGATTCTAACATTCTAGGATCCTAAGATTCCCTACTAAATGTCATTTTCTAATTCTGTCCACTGCTCCCTTAATGCTTCTGTCTGGGTCTATGGGTTATAGGCCACCTGAATCTAGAGGCCTCTGGGCAGCAGCCAAACCTGGAGAGAAGTCTCTATTTACTTTGACATAAAAGGGACAAGAAGGCACATTCTCATAGGCATCCTGGGGAACACAGTCTTTCCCAACAAGGTGGCCAGGCCATGAGGCTTAAGAGAGATTACCAAGCTGGAGAGAGAGCCAAGAGAAATGGAAATGGGGCTGGCTAATGAAAATATTTATTAGGTTGATTGAAATGTGTCCACTGTCCAGTATATCAGAAACCAGCTACTATGGCCAAGGTCAATTAAAAGAAGGAAAGGACAAAGGACACAAGGGTATGCCTTTGAGATGTAGGAGGTGGGGAGAGGAGTTCTCACCCCATGGCTCCTTGGAATTCCTGAGGAAGAGCCAGCGGCTGAGAGTGGGAGAATCTGAGACAGGGGCATGCGCTCCCCTGGGTAGATTTACTCCTCAGAGCTGCAGCCCATACCATTCCCTCCACCCCTCCACAGATGTTTGTGCTATTGAGGTGTGGCACTGCCCCAGGAGCTAGACAAGAGGGCATGTCTGGCTCCCCTCCGAGCCCCAGGGGATCGGTAGTGTCCCCAGCAGCAAATGTTCTAGGGCAGAGGGGTTCGGGAGCTTGATGCTTGGATGGGACCAAAGTGGAAGTGGTTAGGATCACGGTGGGGGCTCCTACTTGTCTGAGGCCTCAGGGCCAGGAATTTCAGGGTGACGAGGCCTGAGGTGCTGGTCCTATCTCTTGATCAGGGGCTTGGGGACTGCAACACGAGGAGTAAAGAAACCACTTGGAAGGGGGAGAAGGAAAGCTTTAGGCGGGAACTCTCTACAGTCAAGCGCTGCCGATGATCAGGGCGTTCCAGAAGATCACAACTAGAAGGAGAAGGGAGGGCAAATGAGGCCACTTGAGGGATTTGGTCTTGGTGTCTCCCGCCCTCCCCTAGGTCAGCACACTTACATGACAGCTTCCTGTACAGGGAGGGACGTCTGCAGCCACAAGTCTACATGGCTGCCGTGTGCCTCATACAGTCTCAGTACTAGGGTATGAGGGTGGGCTCCAGCCTCTGCCTGGGAGGAGAGAGAAGAAGGATGGACAGGCCCATTCCACTCGTCAGGAACCTCAAGCTAAGAAGCAACCCCCCAAACCCTAAACACAAACTGGGAAGCGAGATAGAGTAGGACGGTGACGTAACTAGAGTTATAATCCTGACTCCAAACTCAGCTGCCTGGGATGAGATGGGAAGCTGGGGAATGGGGCAGTCAGAGTTTTCTCCTCTGGACTGAAGTCTTCCTGGCCAGCCCCTTACCTTGGACCCCATCACCTGGCCCTTTTCCCCTGGAGACAGGGGGAAACGGTGTGCCCTGGCAACATCTACTTACCTGTTTAACAGTCTCTAGCACCACAGCGGACGATGAGACTGAAAAAGCACTCCAAGGCCGGCAGAGGGCTGGTCCAGTGGGTATGACACGTAGGGGGAAATTGAGGTTGTAGGCAGCTTGGATGACTCCAGAATCCTGGAACGTTCCTATGAATAAGACATGCCCCCAAGAATGGCAATTTCAGAAGCCTGACATGGGGAGGGGCGTCTGGGAAATCCTCTGCCCCTCTCCGTCACCAAACAGATGAGCCTACCAGCTTTCAACCCTGCTTGAAGGTATATCAACTCCACTGTCTGATACTTTCCTCCTCAATCCATTTAAATCATTTACGTCTACAGAACACATACCATTTTCCAAAAGCTTTCCTACCCATCCTCTCATTTTTTATCATGAGGTCAGGCTGGGCAGGTGTGGCTACCCCTACTTTAGAGATGAAGAACCTGGGGCCTTAGGAAGAAAAGAGACTTGAATGTTCAAGATGATATAGCAGGGTCAGATCTAGACCTAGGCCC